ACATTTTGATTCAGATACTTAGTTTACCTTAATCATCGAATCTTCATACTCTGTTCAGAATTCAGAGATTGTGTAGTGGTGATAATGCATGCATTGCAGCTGAAGCTCTCACACATTCAGAAAGCATTGGGTTAAAATTCACTATATTTTCCACTATATTCTTAGCCATTATGATATTTTTCAAATGCCTTACCTCACAAGTACAAGGGAATCAGCATTAATTTCTGTTTGTAAAGTCTGTTTAAAATAACTGTGAATGGCAAAAGCTGATATTAACTTTTATTCAGATACCATCTTTCACTTAATGATCTAAGCCCATTTACAAACAAACCTTGAAAATTATGTAATTATTGATCTTCCCAGTCTTAAGATTGAATAGCCTGGTAGTATCTGTAAGGAATCCAAGTCAGTGACGTCCTACACATGTAGGTAAATTCTGGCAGCTCACTTAGAAAAAAGTCTCATGTGTCTTGCAGGAAAAAAAAAAGTTACTCTTGCTTTGTATCACCACTTCACAGTGAATGAATGATGACAATAAATCAGAAAGATGAGAAAGAAAACATAATCTCTGTGGGCAAATGTGTCCTCAAACAGGAAACAACTATGTTGTGAAACACTAGAATTTTTCAGTTACACAGACAGATAAGGAAACCGATTTTTTTTTCTGCATGTTAAAAGCTTTAAAGAAAATTATTCTCTCATGCGATCACAGATGCCCTTGTCTGTGATGGGTGGCTCTGTTTGGAAAGCTGATTTAAAATTCTGTCTTACATCTCTGGGAGAAAAGCCAGACCTGTGACATGACAAATACTATTTAGAAGCAAATTTCCCCAAAACTATACAAACCGTTGTGCCAAGTTTTTGGCAGAATTTAAGCACCCAAGTCCAATACCTGCAACTTCAATCTTCCATAATAGAAAACAGTAATTGCAGCATTTCCCCAATATCTACTGCTGTGCATGAAGAAAAACATTCAAAAATCGCTCACTGAAGTATGCTTGTACACACAAACTGAACTGTTTAGCCTAGCCTAGGCATTATCTACAAGAGATAGAAATCTTACGTCATTTCTCCCAACTTTTTGTGGCTGTAATAGATATTCTAATATTAAAACAAAACAAATAAACAAACAAAAAAACAGAGAGGTTTAGACAGGATCCAACAGCTGTTGTATATCCTCAAAGGCTGCTTTGGAATAATTTAGCTATTTTCTATAGTGGTGTGATTTTTTTTCTACCAGAATTCAGCTCTAGGCAGCCCACAATATGAAAGCAGTTGAAGTGGTAAAATACATAATTTATCCTCATCCACTACAGCAACAAGCATCTTTTATCAGTACAGTTATGTTGAAATTAAGGAAACTTACTCCTTTAACTATCAGTAAAGGAAAAAGTTTGCTTTGTGTCTAGATTAACTTGTTAAGCCCAAACCCTACTCAGGAAGTGCTCTGGTTTCAGCTGGGACATGCATAAAAGCCTTCATTTAGTTAAAAGTCAACCTTCAGAAACTTACAGCTTAACGAAAGTGTAAATCTCGGAACAAGTTTGTGGTTTTCTTGCTCAGTAGAAATAAAAGAACAAACAAATTGAAAGTAAATAAAGTCCCTCTAATGACCCTTTGGCTCTTTCTGCAACAGTTTCACACCCAGAGACATGAGTGGATCAACCACTGCAATGTTTAGTTATTCTCCATAACATATTTGCTTTTAGAAAATTCTTCCTGAAGAAGGTCTGGTTTTTGTTTTCCCCTTAAATAACATTTTTCAAACAAACACTTAGAAACTCTAGGTAAAATTATTTAGTGGAGAATTAAAGCAGAGCAAACTATAATAATTTTGGTCCACTAATGCACTGCTTACCAATTTGCACTGCATATGTGATAGCCAGCATAACTCTTTTTCCTAATATTTTTCTGAGGATGTTTAGTATGTTCTAAGATACTTCATATTAAAAGAGACAACAGCTGGGAAATACAGAATTCCAGTTGTTACTACAAGCCAAATTCTTCTGCCTTGACTCCTATGCAATAAACCTTTTATTTGTATGATTACATACTGGTTTTCTGATGTGATGTGAACAGTATGCAGATGGATAGGACACATAGAATGCATAACTCACATTCCTACCATTTCCACTACCCATTATAGGGAAATAAATTAAAAGATGCTTATTATCCAAATCTAGTACTAAAACTAAAATTATTTGTTTCCATCCACATTTGGGTATGGTGTAAATTGCTGTAGTGTGTGATAGTTTCACAAACATGCTGCAGCTTATCTTGTGTGATGAGGAAGAATTACAGCCTTTCTTTGCAATAGGGGAAGTTGAAGCTTTGGGAAATTAACACTTAAGTGTTTTTAGTGCTGTACAGCCGAACTGCTCTAACATTTAAGACAGAGAAATTCCATATTATCTGGTAAGAAATAGGGCTCAGGTAGATACAGATAGAAGAGGAAATTGAACCTTGCCTCCAAACCTGATATGAATACCATAATCACTGAGATCCTCAGTATAAAATGCCCTCCTTCCTCTGTTCTGTGCTTCTTTTCCTTTAATTTTGAGCACTTGCAAATTATTTATTTGGTGAGGAGAACTAAGAATTTTGGTTTTTATAGTGATAGGTATTGAATGGGGTTAACTTCGAATTATTTTTGTTTTGCTTTTCTTCATCTTCAGTGGAGAAGCATCAATCAGTCTCTAAGTATCTACTGAGGTCACTGTCATTTCCAAGCGATGAGGGTGATATCCAAATCAACTCTTTACTCTTTTTTCATCCCTTGGAAAAGTTCTAAACTTCAGCCACGTGACTCTTAATATTTTTAGAAGAATTAAATCCTTTCCATTTAAATTGAGATAACATCAAAGTTTTATCCTTATTTAAGATTGAAATGCATGAGTCATTAATTTGGGATGGGTTTTTTTGGCCTACTTTTCATCTCTGAGACTCCACAGATAATCAGTTCAGAAACACAATTTTGGCTTTGTACTAATGAAGTTTACAAATTATCAGGTAAAATTACAGAAGGAAAGATAAAAATAAGAGAATTACAAATGAGAGAGAAGACATTATAACTGCAGAGTAAAATCAGTAATAAGGAAAAACACCCGGTAATTGAAGAAAAAAGATGAATTTAAAAAAACCCAGGCTTTGTTCCGTGGTGCCCGGTGGCAGGACGAGAGGCACTGTGTACAAACTTACACAGGATGTTTCCTCTGAGCACCAGGAAGTGCTTCAGTGCTGTGTAGTAATAAAGCATTTGGGTGGTGACCAGAGAGGCTGTGGGATCTCATTGGAGATCCCTGGCCTGGGTGGTCATGCAAACAGACCTTGGAGCAGATGGACTCAAAGCTCCAGCCACTATGTGGTCTTGTGTGATTCTGTGAAAAAGAACTATAGGACAACTACTTTTCTTCACAGAAAGTGAAAGAAAATCTGAACACATAAAATATGATGAAACTAGCTTAGTAGGAAACTGAATTGTTTGCTGAGTGAAAGTGATTACAAAACATTGTAGATTGAAGCAACAGTACCTCCTTAGAAATAGTTATTCTGTTAGAAGCTACAGCCCTGAAATTACCAATAGTATCATCTATATAGTAGACATCTAGGTATTTATTTCAAGTATTCGATCAATACTTGATTTGGAATGAATACTCTATATCTTAGTTTGCTCAAAATCTTAAAAAAAAAAAAAAAAAAAAAAAAAAAAAAGCGCCAGTGTGATTGCGAAAAAGAACAGTGAGGGAAAAGTTATCTTTTTGTACTAAGAAGCAGAACCGTTTTTTTCTTGACAGATTGAATATGAGAGCTTTTTTAGAATTCTTCCCTCCTGCACAGCACAATACTGCAGCTTTAGGCCAGGACAGAAATCTTCCATGAGGATTAACTATTAAGAGTAATACAATTTCTGCTGCTTTCCTGGTTTAAGCAATGAAAACATGCAAATAACAGAGATGGTATAAAGGAATAATATAATTCCACTGCTTTTTATTCAGTTTGATAGGTTTAGGGTTTTTTAATTGCTTTACATTCTAGGTTATCCAACCTTTGCTTTTCCACGTACTTCTGGCTACCTACAGGATCAAGGAGAGTTCAGGGCTTAAACCTTGAAATCCTTATGCATTGTTCCCTGCTCAGGAGGTACTCCAGCAACCTGAGGGCCACATAGATGATCAGAAGGCTGGAGACCCTCCCCTATGGCACAGGTTAAGAAAGCTGAGGCTCTTCATTCTAGGGAAAAGAAGGCTCCTAAGAGGACTTTATAGCAGCCTCCCATTACCTGAAGGGGGCCTCCAGGAAAGCTGGGAGAAGCTTTTTATAAGGGCATGTAGCAACAAGGTGAGGGGAAACAGCTTTAAACTGAAGAGGGTGGATTTATACTAAACATTAAGAAGAAATTCTTTACTGTGAGGATGGCAAGACACTGGCACGAGTTGCCCAGTGAGGCTGTGGATGCCCCCTCCCCAGAGGTGTCCAAGGCCAGGCGGACAGGTCTGAAAACATCCTGGTCTAGTGAGAGGTGTCCCTGCCTATAGCAGGGGGTTGGAACTAGATGATGTTAAGGGTCCCTTCCGACCAGGAAGCTGTAACTTCCAACCTAAATAATTTCCATGATTTTCTTGAAAAAATGTAATACCACCCTCTATGTTGCTTACACTTAAAAGTGGGAAAGTGGAAAGACCTTTTATAAACTTCTAAGGAGTAGTGAAGATTGCTGTATCATTCTTTTAGTGTCAGTTTTTCCAGCTAAAACTACAAAAATAAATATGATTTTTAGGTTTCAGTTTGTGTTTCAGAATGAATATTTATGAATGCAGACTAAGTTTTACAACAAAATCTGAGAAAATTGGCAGAGTGTGAGCTTTGCAGACATTTGTGCATTTACAGCTGGAGCAAGCACAGTGCAGTGATGCAACCGTAACATTAAAAATAAGACAGGGCAGCTTTAAGACAGAAACAGGAAGCTGTAACGAGAATCCAGCTGAATTCTGAGCTGGGGCACTTCACCGTGAGGCTGCAAATCAAGCAGATGTGCTTGCTGTGAATTGCTACAGTGTCTGAACTTTTGTATGCCAAAGGTGATAACACCTTCCTTTTCTGGGATTTTTTTCATTCTTTTATATTGTGTGTGTTCTCTGTGAAGGGAATGAAATGGAGAAGTTGAAGAAATATGCATTGCTGAAAGATGAAGATCAGTTTTATCATGAGGGAGCTGTGGAGTTGCTAGTCTTTAACTTTCTGCTTATTCTTACAATATTAACAATTTGGTTGTTTAAAAACCATCGATTCCGCTTTCTGCATGAAACTGGAGGAGCTATGGTTTATGGTAAGTATAAATTCAAGTGCTGGTTTGACATAGGAGTAGTTGCATATTTATAACCGGGCACTTGAGATCAAGTGCTGACAAAGCTCAGAAAACATGCTGAATGAAGTGCCATCAGCCCCTTAAATGTGCAGTAAAATAAGAATGTAATACCATCTCTTGTGCAGTAGCTACAGGTTGACTTGTTGAGTGAATACCATGAGCTGTTAAACCTCAAGATGTGCAGGTTATGTTCCTGTACATGCAGACTGCCATTGAATGACACTTCCTAAATCAGAGAATTTATTATTTCTAAACATTACAAATGCCTAGAGTTTAAGAAATTATTTAATATGCCTATTTTACACACTTGTTTTGTATAACATTCAAAGTTTAGACTAAGAAGCTTTATGAATCTACCCATGTTACCTGATGATGTTTAGATCGAGACTTTGTTTTTCCCCCCCACAGTGCTTTAGAAAAGCAGACTACGAAGAATGCCTCTCTTGAGTAATCTCTGAATGCTGTCATTGTACTGTAATTTCAATTTGCCTGTCAAGTTCTAATCTTCTTTTATGCTGTTTTGCAATATTGTGCATCATTTTCATGTGAAATCTTCTTCACTGCCCACCAATAAGAGTTACTCACTAGTTGTATAGTCTTATGTGTATAAGAGCTTATCATGCCATTCTCTCTTGCTACCATTTCATTTTTCTCATGTGTGATTTCCGATTCTGTAGCCACATGACACACATGCAGTGTATGTATAATTGTCAAAATGGAAGAAAAAGATGTAAATCTACAGCTCTGTAGAGAGCTCATCTTGACTCATCTTAATCCCAGACTGACTCATTCTTTACACGTTAAATACTTCAGCAGTGATACCAAAACCAATTTTGTTAAAGCTGCAATTCTGAAGAATATTTGTGTCACACCACATGCAAACACTGCAATATTTTCATTGCAATCAACTTGTAGACTATGGCAGGTAAACTAATCAACTTGTAAACCACTATTGTTATAATTGTTTGAGTGACTTCTATAACAGCTTTTCCCAGCTATTGTAGTTTCCCATGTGAAGCTGATAACATTTGCTGAAAGCTGATAAAAAAGAGGAAAATACAAATGGAGCAATATGAAATTAGACAAATAAGATGGGATTTAGAATTTTATCTTCTTCCACTTTGCTATCTGCTCTAGCTCCATTTTGCTGCCTGCCCAAAATGCAATCTACACATCATGAAGATAACCAGCTCCTGATATTCTTTTGATCAATAAAGAGACAGAGTTTTTGAATTATTAAAACAGTCATGAACTAAGGAAATGATCCTCATGGTTGCAAATAAGCTATTTAGACTTGCATTATTCATGGCGACCTTTAGGCATAGAAACATTTTCATTCATAGGATCTGGAAAGCTGATTGTGTCCCCTCCATTCGTCAAAATTTTGAATATGGGTTTGGGTATCTTCAGCATTATGAAACTGTGATCATGAAAATAAAGTGGAATTTTTGAGGTAATGATAGAGATGTTAGATGAGCTAACAGCAACTCCAGGAGAAAAATCAGTTCAGGAAGTCGTCATAGCACCAAGTACTGACAGTCAGGTAGATGCTGCCCTACTCTCAGTACAGCTAAACCTAAGTGACTTTGCTACAGCTGATCTTCTATGCAATCTCTGTCTTTACTATCAGAATAGTTCTCTTTTATTTATGTTTTGTATTATAATACACCTGCCCTGCAACTTGCTTTACTGCAGTCCATTGAGCTGTTTCCTAGATATGTGAATGACAGCACAAGAAGCCAACAGTTTTGCTTAAAATGACAAAATATTGCCATTTATTTGTAGACTGTGTCCTACAGTATGATGGATGGGTCTGTATTCCTTATCAGGACAGCATGCCATCAGAGGTATAGCAGTGGAAGGTATGGGGAAAGTGAAATACGAGGAAGACCAGGAGGAAAGAACAGAGATACAAACACAGGAATTTTTAGATTTTCTGCAAAATGCTGAACAGACACAACTTAGACACTAAGAACATACTAATAGTATATTCTGTTTAAAGTATACATACATTTTTCCCCCTGCATAAACTTCCAAGGTAAATGCATCCTTAGGCTGAACAGTTTCAACAACAACAGAAAACAACTTGAAAATATTTGAAACATTAAAAATTGAAAATAATTGATTTCTTAATAAAATCAGTGTTTTTACATAAAATATAGCTGCTCTATTTACACCAATAATCTTTCAATATTTACCAAAAAAATAAAAAAGAACACTTTTAGTTTAAGCTTATGCACGGTCAGTTGGGTTTTTTTGTTCAAGTACTGTTTACCTGTAGATACAGTGTATGCAGATATTTCAAGGTGTTTAGCTCTTTAAATCACTATCACTCTCAAGTTCTTCTGTTTCAGCACCAAATGAAAAGCCAGTTACTCACAAAAAAACAAAGAACGCAGACTTACTGTTTTTTTTGTTCACCACTTTGTTCTCCAAGATCTTGGGGGACAGGTTTCTCTGCGTATTGTAGCTTGCATTGACAGACCCTAAACAAGAGCCTCATCTTACTTTCTTGTTTCTGTATATCAAGGGGGCAGGTGAATATGAAAGAGTACTGTTGTGCTACTCTGAATAGAAGGAGCAAAATTAACATATTCAGGTGGTAAGCACTATAGTAAGCACTTTCTCAAACACGTTGAGAATGTACACAGAAAACCAAATAAGGTTTCAAAAGAAATTGTGCATGAGTATTTCTAAAGCTTGTTAGTCATCTCATGTAGGGCTGAATTTCTCTAGATCAGTAAATCATAAACCAGGTCTATTGCAAAATTCCCCATAGAACACATAATTCACAGTCCTTCATTTTAAAAGGGAATTGTCCAGAGCATACTAAATGAAAAAAAGTAGACTGTAAGCAGCCAAAGTTCTTATCCACCTCAAAATTTAGGTATCAGAGCTGAAGTGCAGGTGCTACCAGTTATGTGTAATTAATAGGTTAAAGCACCCTTGGAGGTAGGCAACCAAAATTAAACTTTATCAAAAACTAACAAAAACAAAACAAATCCAAAACATCCCAGCAATATGGTGACATTATCTGCTAGTCTCATTGGCTCTACCAATTAAAAACCATTCTCAGTTGAATAGTTCTCACACTAGGGAATACAGTGAAGGTGAGGCTGGTGGAAGGTGCACCTGCTTTTAAAGCTGTGTTCCATAGAACTGGTTTATCAGACTGAAAGGAAATCGTAATGACAAAGAACAGAACACAGTAGAACAGCTCTTAGTAGAAAGAAATGGCTCCATGTCAGAGGACTTTGAGCTGCTTCATGAAGTCTGGAAGGGATTGGAGGGCTGAGATTGGAGGCCTAACACTCCCTCCCCCAATAGCTCAATTCCTGGCAGGTATGCAGTGGGAATACTTGTTGAGCCTAGCCTCTTCTGGAGGTTCCCTTAATGTCCTTATTTAAAGTCCTGGAAAAAAAAAACAAAACAACAATCTTGTGTAGCTCAAGAATTTGGCATGGGTGACTTAGGAAATCCCTTCCAATACTCTTACCTGTGATTAAGGACTTTTTTTCTACTTACAGAATATGCAGAATTTAGAAAAACTGCATTAAATTTGAAACATGGTTCAGGTCTTAGAAATTGTTAGCTTTCTTTTATAGTAAAAAATAGTTACCATGGTATTTCCCAGAAGCTTTTTTTCTTTAAACAAACAGTAAGAAATATTCTACGCTACAGAAGCATGATTTCACAAAATCATGATTTCAGCTTGGAAGGTGGAGTATAGGAAAGACGACTACATTATCCAGCTACTTAGAATTGAATTATTTATATTAATAATCTGGACTCCTGAATTCTGTCATTAAAGAGATATTACGTAATAATTTAAAGAAGAAAGTGCATTCCATAAATGATATACCTACTGAAATATTCAATATAATCTTCTCAGATTTTTAATTTACCAGCATTTTTATCTAGGGACTTTGGCACAGTTATTATTACAGAAGAAGCAATACTATTCCACCACCTTAACTGATTCCTGCAGCATAGTGTAATGCCACAACAATTGTCTTTGTCCAAACTTTCCATAGAGAATTTGAAAACATTCTGAAGCAGCTCATCATTATAGATCCCATCTATATTTTGTTCACATCTAAAGCATCATAGAATTGCTTTAAAAGCTAAAAGGACTTCAAAACCTCATTGATACCCTAAAAATATTGTTAGAATGTGCTCTAATATAAATTCTTTAATATGTGTATGCTATTGATGACACACAATTTCCCTGTACTTTCATTATTGTTTCATTGTTTTATTGCACAGTGTATTATCCAGATCTGAACTCCATCTGAGGATAAGAACTAAACCTGTAGAAGAAAATCCAAAGGCTGACTTGAATGCCAGTTGCAAAGAATTGATCAATACTGACTGAGAATTACAACTACTGTTGTCATATATTTAAAACAATCATTTTCTGCAAATTGGTTTATTTATAATCAAGGATCATCTTGCGTGACTATGATCAACAAAGCATTTGTGTAGTAAATCAGATAATGTGTTTCCATTCCAGAAAATTCTTACAGAGGTAGCTTGAATCTGCCACTGGAGATAATGTCTGATAAGAATACAAAAAAAGAACAGTCCCTCTTGACTCCTAATCTAAATTTGACACTAAATTTTGAAATGTTTTTTCCCTCAAGCAATTTTGTTCAATTACATTACTGTAATGGAGAACGCTTTTTATTTTTTAAATTATCAAACAGAATTTGGTTCAAAGTACATGAACCAAAGAGGTTCTCTGTTTTTTTGTTGTTGTTGTTGTTTGTTTTTTTGAGGAATTCAGTCTTTTACTACAGCTAGATTTATTATCTGATTCACTACACAAATGCTTTGTATCTTCAAATAGCCTTGACGTTTTCTGCTGCATATCTCAATCCTGTTCCATCTGAAGTAGCTGACCACACTAAACAAGCATGAATGCACGTACATACAAAATATGCAATACAGATGTCATTCTGCTGCATCATCAGTCCAGGAATCTATAAGCTTGCATTGTGTCTATTCTAAAAGCCTCTCTTAGTGAAAAATGTGAAAATTACTGACACCTGACCAGGTGCTTATGACCACTTTGATTATCCACAGCATCCATGACATTACATAATGAAACTTATCTTTCAGATTCCTATCCGCTATTTCCTACAATTAATCATCTCCAGTAATGTAATCTAGATAAATAACAGTTACTTTTCCTGAAGTAATCACTCAAGCTCCCACTAGTGCCAAGAGAAAGAAGGAAATGTACCTCCATGAAGAAGTGTGGGAAACCACCAAGATCACAGCCGATTTTTTTATGCTCAGCATAGCACTTCAGATATGCATTCATGCCCCTTCTCTCAGTATCTATTGAAAGCACAGCATTTAAGTCAACTGCTGTAACAGAATGATTCCAGCAACTGGATTGCAAGAATAGGAGTACAGCTGAGGACATGGCAAACCAAAATCAGTATTCTAATGAAATTAACGTTTTGAAAGAATGTTATGGTCCCCCATAGAGTACTGAGTTAAGTGTGCATGTGTGAAGGTAGAAACACTGAGAAAATAACGTTCTAGCTTTAGTAGAACAAATCAGGGAAGTTCATTTTTCCCCAAGTCAGCCACTGTGCAGCATCAAATGCTTAAACTCACCTGAATCTCTTTGTTTTGTTTTTACTCTCCAGGCCTCGTAATGGGATTAATTATACGATATGCAACAAAAACATCAGATGTTGAAAATGGAACTGTTTATGAATGTGAAAAGCTGAAATCTGGGCCATCCAGTCTACTTATTAATATAACTAATCAGGTCTATGAATACCAATACAAAAGAGAGATCAACCACCACAATGTCAATGGTCACCAGGGCAATGCAATGCTTCAAAAGGTAAAAATGATTTTATTTTTGTTCTGAATTGTTTGAGATATTTCTTTCATTTATTTTATTTAGAGTCCTTTGCAATGTTGTGGACTTTCTTATTTTCTAGTATGTAACACTTAAAATATTCTAATTATTTAGTGTATTATTTCTCTACCTTTGCAATATTTGCTTCTCTTGATAGTCTGTTCAAAGAAAGGGCAGCAACTTAAGGAATTTATGAGTGCAGAGAGACTTTCCAAAATCCCTCTAAAACTTAAATTCAAAGACATTGCATACTCACATGCAGGTTCTAAGCCCTTACAAATGTCGTTTACAATATTTCAATATATTATTTTGATTTTAACAAGCATCATTATTTATCTACCACAGTAATACATATTTTTGTATATAGTAGCAGTTATAATTATACAAAGCTTTTAATTTACACTTAGAATGCAGACTGGGTATCTCCGCAGAATTTGGATTTAACCATCTGCTCAAAGCCCTTGCCTCATGTCCTGCCTGTAGTTGCTGCTAACTTCCTAACAGTGTAAGAGAGAACTAGACTAGACACTGAAAACTGAGAGCTGTGGTGGGTGGAGACAGGAAAGTCTTGTGGCAGTCATGCTAACCAGATTTTGCTGAGTCTTCATCCTTTTTCCTGCTGGTTGTGAGAGGTTTGTCTTAGTTCAAGTGTTTAGTTCCCAAGTCTCCTGTACTTCTCTATTACATTTGAATGTTTTCGTCAAACTTGGTACACTGAAGCTGGCTCATGTTATGGGAAGGGAGGAGGATTAAGATAGAGGTTCCTGTTGCTCTTACAGGGGATTGCCCATTCCTGTTTCCATAGTCCCAATTTGCAGAAAGATTCTTAAAAATCTCCACTACGAATTGTGGGTTTCTCTAAATCACAGGAGAGGTCTGAGCCTGCTAACATTTTCACTGTAAGAGGGCAAGTGCCTTATTAAAAAGAAAATAAGTTAAAAAAAGGAAAGAGGGAGACATTTGACAGCATTTAGGAGACAAAAGCAATGCCTGGCAGCCTTCCTGCCTGGCAAAAGCACTGATATACAAAACAGAAAACATGATCGCACCATGCTCTGATTTTTGTTCAACTGCAATTCTCTTTTGACTTCAGTGTATGAGTTTATTACCTGCATTTATCAGAAATAACAGGCTGCCCTGTGACTTACAAAGATATATCCTTCAAATCATTTTGAATGTAAAACATTCATTCAAGATTTCTGATGCCTATGTAAGAAATATTTTAACTTTTGCTGAATTAGTTCCAAGGTCAACATTTGAGTTTGCAAGTGAATTCGCTTTCTATCACGTGTTCCATGAAGTTAGCAGCACATTATGTGCTAGCAGGTTTTTTGTCAATTTGATATTTTTAAGTAAGCAGAATGGAAAAAAAAGCTGAGCTTTCACTTCCTGTTTATCAAATGAAGCTATCTGCTAGCAAGAAGACAGAAGTCATTTTCTGGCAGCTCTCACTCTTCCAAATCTAAATAATTGATCTAGTACGTGTAGCCTTAAAATACCACTTTATCTGAACAAAGGAGCTGCAAGCCGTTGCTCTAATTGTGTTCTGTCTCTGGTAAAGGTACTGAAGTAGCACAGCTGCTGACAGAACAGTAAGCAGTACATAGGCTTATTAAAAATATTTTCCTCTCCAGCTTTAAAAAGCACTCTGTCTATTGAAAGTTACTTGAAGTGTGGTGACTCAAAGTTGTTCTTGGTCACTGTGTCTGAAATCGAAGGCAAAGTTGGACAGTGTACTGACAGCTGCACTGCTGTTTCTAGCTGTGGTAGAAAAAACAACTAGTGTTTCACGTATATGGAATAGTATTAGATGAGGAATGCACTTTGTGTGAACTCTGGATGATTTTACAGTTTCGTGACACTTCAGTATTTGAACAATGGCATTCAGAAAATAAAGCATGAGATAGGGTGGCTGAAGAGTTCTCTGTTTTCTATGGTGTTTTGGTCTTTTTCTACCACTCTTAGGCAGTCTCCATTCACTTACGGGTAAACTTTGGTTAGCCTGGGTTTTACACTAATTGCCCTTTTTATGCTAAGCACTGATCCCACACTAGATCAGAAAAGCACAGGAAGACGGCTCTCTGAAGGTGAAGCCAGGTTGTTCTCTTTTAGTTTCTTGCTGAAGGACAATCCCAGAGCTTGCTACCAACTGGCAGAAATCAGTTTTCTCTATATGCAAGTAGGAAAGCACCAGGAAAAAGTGAAAAAGCTTTAAGTATTTCTTCTGTAGAGAATAAAATGAGGCTGAACATACTCTAGGCCAAAATCCTTACAAACACAATTTATTACAAAAAAAGATTATTTGCCCTGCATTCATACTCTATGATATTCAGTTTAAATATTTCACCTTGTAGCTTTTGATAGATTTCCCACCTAACTGAAAGAGGAAATAATGAATTAGCTCTATGGCTCTCATGTATTGATTTGGTTTCTCTGAAATTAAAGAATTTAACGTATTTTACAATGGCTGAAATTTAGGCCTTGAGAATTTTCCAAAGAAAAAATAGCTACAGTGAAATGGGGAGAAAGTTACTTTGGCTACTGATCTGCAAATGGACGATGTTCATACTGTTACAAGTAACAATCATGAATTAGCTTCTCAGGTAACGTTCATCTGACAGACTGTACAAACATGAGTTTTCTCTGAAGTTTTTCAGACTTTTGCCTGTCTTGTGAAGCATTCTTACTTTCTTAAGTATCAAAAGTAAATTTTACAATATTCTTTTTATCAGTTAAAGATTATTGTTAATGACACAAGACAAAATAAGCAGAGTCAACTCAGAAAATGGCCATTGATATCTGATATCAAACCTGTTGTCAAGGTATTGTAAACAAATTGGACCTCAGTCTATTTTCAACACAGAAGCAAACAGTGTTAATAAGGAAAAAAAACAAATACAGCCTGCTGTGAAACTCACTTAAAGCAGAGATTTTTATGCATATTTTTATGTGTTCACTGAAATTTAGTAATTAATCTGTATACAACATTTGGCTAAGGGATTCTATCAGTGTTCATGTTTTTTTTTCAAATGGTGACATGGAGACACAGTTCAGTGGTTTCAAGAGCTAAGGAGCTTTTTTTCTGAGCTTTTTTTTTAATTGGTCACAGAAAAATACATTGACCCAGTGTTCTCCTGACAATCTTTACTATAGCTCTAAGTAAAATTTATTACAGTATTCATGAAAATCCAGCTGCTTGCAAATGTCTGTAAAGTTTCCAATGATTGAATGATCAGAAGTAGACAGGCATTCTAATTTATGAGTACATCTGATTCAATAAATCTCTGTGTGAGGTGATGAGGCTTCAGAGTCTGCATAAATTACTTAGCAAGTTCCACAATTAGTTCAAGCTCACCACACTACAAAAATAAAGCCTTGGAATACAATTACTTAGAAATCATTTGGGGTCTTGTTTTGTAGGTAACTGCACATATTTGAAATGATACTGCCAGGGGAATTTAAGTAACTTTAGTAGAAAACAGTTTCCTCACTCTGGATTTTGATGGCCATTATTTTATATATGGTTTTAGAGGGCCTGCCAAATCACCAACTTAGTACCATCTTTGTAATGCTATTTCACCTCTCATTAAAGTAAGATTTATGTAACAGCTTTAAAGAGTGGGAAATTCCCTCCTTATTTCTATCACACAGAGGTACAATATCCCAGGGAAACAAAAGCTACAGAAATTTGCAGAAACACTTTGTGTTTGGATGCTGATCCCACATGTTTTGATGAGGACAATTCTGCTTATTCACATACAAAATACTGAGATGCTCTGGAGCGTGAGTCATTCTTACTCATCTAGGTTTAAATCTTCTGTAATGTACTTTGGCATATAGCAGCATTAGTACTGCCTTCACTTTCAATTCACAAATGCTTTTCTTATAAAATTGACAATATCTGAAAGCAGGTAACAGCATTTTAAATTGAAGTCATCCATTCCTAAAAGCTTGTAATAGAGCTCATTATACAGCCTGGCTATGTACCCAAAAGAGAAGATTGCTGAACTTTCAACCCTGTTCTCTGCACAAAGTTTCATTTCTCAGCCTCTTGGCTATGGTAGAATTGGTCTAGGAAGCTCAGGAAACTGGGCCTCTTCAGAAGGTTACTGGTGTCTCCCAGCTGCTTTTCTTGGTATTTTCTCTCTCTATTTCATGCCCCAAGGTGAATTGAGGTTACAAAAGATATGATCAGAAGAGCTCAATGATAACTGCTCAGCATTACAAACAGTACTTCTGAACTATTCCTGCAGTGAATTTCCCATACAGCAGTTTCAGCTTTGCACTGAGGCGGCAGTACAATAAATTCTTACTTCTTACAAAACAAAGGAGATGGAGGTTGTCTGGTGCCTCACACATAATGAGGTTCCAGATGCATCTCAGGCGGGCTGCACTCAGAGAGGACCTGGTTGCCACTACACAGAATATAAGTGAAACAAGCTCTGTAATGGAGTATGAATTGTTGTCTGCTGCTGTGCCAGGCAGTGGGATGGAGCAAGAATCACAAAGAGTGATCACAAAGAAGTGACAGCCAGTAGTTCATCAAGCAACTTTAGCTAGCTCTGTTTGGAACTATATAGACATGTTTTGAAAGAACCATTAGTTTGGTTTGGCTAGTGCAGATCTTTTCTGTTGCCACTGCTGAGTAAGTGGGGAACTGACATAGGACAGTGCACAAAGCCCTCATCTGAACCAGGAATTAAGCATGGGACTGTCCAGTTGGTTAGTGCAGTAGTGTAATGACAGTATCACAGGTAACACTACTTGTATATTTAAAATATTCATAACCAATTTCCTTCTTTAAACATTCAAATAGTATTTTACATATATGAGCAATAAGGAATTACACGTTAATATGTAAAACAGAACTCAGAACGTTCTGTCTCCTTACCCTCTCTTTTGTCCTTTCTGGCAGATGACATTTGATCCTTCCATCTTCTTCAATATTTTGCTGCCACCTATTATATTTCATGCTGGATATAGTTTAAAGAAGGTAAGTGCCTCTGTCTTAAATTACAGAAATGGCTTAGTGTGATTGCTACTTTCTAGATCCAACAGACCAGTAATAGAGAAAAAAAGCCAGTTAATAAATATACTGCACGGTAAGAACTTGACAGGAATGGTAAAAAATACAATCTGCTCCCTGTCACAGTGCAAAGATTTGATTGTGCAGTTTGTAACATGTGGACGTTGCTATTTTCAGAAGAGGCCACTTTGAATCTGGTAACACTACAAGTAGGCAGCAGCCTATGTATTTTTTATACACTGCATGATCAAAACTTAGCTTACTCAATGGATAAGGTCATGATAGTTTATATCAGACACTTTTATTGTGAACCTGAAGCATTTGACCAGATGCATAAAAGAGAATTGAAAAGGCACTCCAAGAGACAAAAAAAGATAGAATCAAATCATATTTTCCAAAACAACTTCTATAGCCTATACTGTTTCATTTTATATCTATGGGCTGTAGCAAGAAAAAGAATGGATGGAATGGCACTTCTAGATGCAACTTGGTTTTAAGGTTCTGTTACTGACTGTATTACAAAGGACTTTTTTTTTTTCCCCAAACTTTCCTCCCCAGAGACATTTCTTTCGTAACTTGGGATCAATTTTAACCTATGCATTTTTGGGAACTGCCATCTCCTGCATTGTCATAGGGTAAGTGAATGCTTTCTACTATACTGCTGAAGTTTTAATTAATGTTCTACTTGGTTTTGTTTGTTTTGTTTTTTTATTAATTAAAAACTAAACTGTGAAAATAATTGCTCACCCTCAATGATCAATAGAAGTCACAATGTGTGTAATAGATAAAGTAATTTTATGTCAGGGAATGCAGAGGAGGCAAGATTGCTGGCTGGTAAGAGCTGTCTAAGGCACTCGGGAAGTTGCGTCCTGCACTTCTAGTCTGTGATTGATGGAAGCATGGCCTTTTTTTCCACAACCTTGTTACCTTAACTACCTCTCCTGGGAAAAGGAACCATTCTCTCATTTGAAATGTCATCCTTCTGACCAGAATTCATTCCATAGGAGAACAAGTCTCTAACAAAAAATGAAGGACTTCAAAGCTCACAAGGGGATGGACAGAAACATACTGTATAGTGTAAAATTACTGGAATTGTCTCCAAGGCGAAGTGAAGCCTATTAACTGAAGGTCATGCAAAAAGTCTTATTATCATATCATGTGTGAAGTGGATATGACTAAATAGTTTCTGCAGAAAAAGAGGAAGACAAGAACACAGGGACAAAAAAATCCTGTTTCATTTCCAAACTTCTTAAGTAAAATGTTTCTAATTTTGTTGTGAAATTTGGCTGATATACTAGTCACTGTGGAGAGACATTTCACGCTAAAATACTTGGCTAGCATTTACAGTCCACAATTTTTTTTCTCCTTTATATTTTTCAGTTCTTTCTTAAAAAAACTGAATCTGAAATGATTTTGAAAACCAAACTCACACATTCATCTATATATAAACATACGAGAGAGATGGAAAGAGGTATCAGGAATTAACAAATACCACTCCAAATATTTTTGAGGACAAAAAAAAAGACATGAGATTAGCTTTTCCATTGTAACTTTTTGAAGTGGACACTTCATATTCAGACACTTGTGGTATCAAGATTCAATTGTCATCTGAAAATGTTTCTTCCTCACATTTGACTGCACACTTTCAATAGCCCCTCTTCGCCTCCTGAGGGAGAAATGGATGGGTGGAATGAATAAATTGTTCCTAAAAGCAACAGTAGCAAGAAATGCTAAACTTTATATTGTTTAAATTGACACAATGCATCTGGACTTAAGTATCTAAGAATTTTGTTCTTTCATAAGCATAGCAGTCCAAACTGCTCCCAGTAGTGAATGTATTTTAAAGATTAAAGGACAGAATCCTCCCACTGGCATTCTGTTTAAATATTCTATTTACAATTAATCATTTTCAATAGAAAACAGTTTTTCAAAACAAACAAACAAGAAGTCTGACTCCTCATTGGGAATATTCATTTTTTCCTGTAAACTTACAACTTTTTTTCTCAACAATAAGTAGCTTCCTCTGGTTTCATAATATTATGAGACAGAACTGTGGATATTGATAAATTGACACATCGACTTATTCTCAGTGCACACAGGTTCTATTTCTCATTAAGCATTTGGAACACACACCTGAAAAGTTCAGTACCTTTCCTGTGCACTGCACAACTGGGGATTTGACTTCTCCTTGTGCTTAGCATTTCCAGAGATGTCTGGGTAGTTTGGCAAATGTATGGACATGTAATTAGGTTATGGGCATGTTCTTCGTTGCTTTCTGACTGAAGCTTTCTGGAATATACTAATGGAGTCGGCTGATGTGAAACAGTATTGAGCTTAGAATCTGATTACTTTTGCTCATATGGGGGCTGTGGAAAGACTTTGCAGCTTGGAAACTGTTCTGTGCTTCAGCAGAGCAAAGCCAAAGTATCACACAGCACGGTACAGCAGGCTGAAGCCAAAAAAATGTTTGGCTTGTATCTACTGCACTGTGCTGTGAGACTCTTCTGGATTTTAGAAACTGTTTCTGCAAGGAAAAATGGGGCCATGTTAAGGGTAACAGAAAATCTCTCTCTGTTACAGAGCACTCCATAAAGTAAGCAAATACTTTTAAAGAGATTATCTGCAGTTACATCACCTGAACTCTTACCTTCCCAGTGGATCATTTCTGTATTCGTTTCAGAATTACAAGCAGTATTTTTTTCCTAATTTAAAGACTGTTTACCACACATTCCTACCAAGTAATACAGGTGTAGTTTTCCAAATGCTTAAGCTCCTCACAGGAAAGAATGAAGGCTTTAGTTGGAGTACAAACAAAAAATGGTGAGGCAGCATTAAAGTATCCTGGTGCTGTACAGATTGACTGAGAGAGAAGGAAAGTTAAATGTAGGCAATTCGCCTTCTCCATTGATAAAATAATCTGAATATATTTCAGATGCCTGTCTTTAATAATTTCCATTTATGTTTTGAAGCTAGATATTCAGCCTATGGCTAGAAATAATGAAAAAGCTAATAACCAGGCATTAATTTGGATGAGGTAATTTATTTATATATTTATGAAAATATAGCACTTGTGTTGGTAATGTTTTTGTGGACATTTGCTTTGTTTTATTTTAGAGGTTTTTTTTAGTGCTTTCATGCTCCATCTGGAGTTAATGCAGGTATTTTCTTTCAGTCATGAGGCAGTAGTGTACCATATCTCAATGACCTCAGGAAACTGAACATTTTTTAGATTAAAACAAACTGTGCCTCTCCAGAGTTCTCCAGAGAAGGCAAAGTAACACCAAGGTCCAGCAGAAAAAGAACTGTTGTGCTTACTTGAGTGTGTTGAGGGGAAACGGCTGGAAACTGCAGCATAGGAAGTTCTGCACAAATGTGCGCAAGAACTTCTTTACGGTGAGGTAACGGAGCACTGGAACAGGCTGCCCAGGGAGGTGGTGGAGTCTCCTTCTCTGGAGATGTTCAAGACCTGCCTGGATGCCAACCTGTGTGACCTGCTGTAGGGAACCTGCTTTGGCAGGGGGGTTGGACTCAATGATCTCTGGAGGTCCCTTCCAACCCCTACAATTCTGTGATTCTGTGATTCTGTGTAGCTCAGTGCCCCAACGTGGTAGCTTTGATTCTTTGATCAGTGTGCATCTAAAATAATTCTGCATGTGGGGTTGCAAGCTGTAACTCACATTTGCAGCTGCAAGTAGTTCCTGCTCATCACTCTTGGTTAAAGATGTTAAACAAATCCCAAACAGGCTATTAAAGTATTGGTTTAGAGTAGTTTGAAAAAATATACACTCATTATGATGTCTTGAGCTTGGGAATTTTGCAAAGGGAATGAAAAAGGGAAGAGACTTACTTTTAGATATAATTCCGAGTTCTAGCGTTTCTAAAGCTATAGTATAATTAAAAACCACTCTCATTTGAATGACTTGCCAACTTGTGGACGAAAAGCTGAGTTAAACCAAGATACTGATATAAAATAGTGCTTTTCTGGCCACTAGCATCCACTCGGAGATGAATGCTTCCAAGAGTACTTTAATGCATTCAAAGCATGTGTTGCTGTAAGTTCAGTCTTAGTACTCGCAGCCATTTTGTGATAAGCATCTGATGTTGTCTGCAGCAGCAGAGTTGATCACACAGAAAACACAGTTCTTGTCATAAACAGATGTGGTGAACAGCAGGGTGTAATTATTACTATCTCCCAGAATAACTACCTAGCATACTAAGGGTATAAAAAAGTTGATATTGAAGGGAAATGTATGTGGCTGGGGAAGCTAGAAAGAAAAATGTAAGTCATGCACTCTTTCAGAAAAAGAGCAAATGGCATTTGTTGCAATATGGAGAGAAGACTTGAGTCTAGATTTTTCCTCATAAGAAACATGTCTAGGGGCAAGAACTTATTTGTTTCATTGGCTTCTATCACTATTATTTAATAAAGTTTCTTCCCAGTTGCACTGGAAATTTTTTTCTATAGAAATTAATACTTTTGCATAGATGTCCTAGTCTTCTTCTCTAATCTTCCAGATCATTAAAGAACTAACACCCAGCATTGTGTTTAAATACCACCATTCCATTTCTCTAGCTGTTGACTACCCATGCATCTCTTCAACCCAGCTTTTTGGCTCCAACAGCACTTGGAATAGCTATGATTCAGAGACATATCTAATTCAGCCTATGCTACGCATTGCTACAAGCCATACGAAACTACAGGGCTTTACTAAATTGTAGGACATGGCATACAGCAAGTACACTGCTTTCTTCTGAACCAACATGAGCCATGACATGACCTCTGTTATGCACACATTCAGTCAGTCTACTTCTGTCAGTCATTTTGTACTTTGATATTCTCTACCTTGTTTCCTCTACATTCATTTGCCTTCATCCCCCTCCTCCCATATCCAACAATTAGCTTCCCAGGCAGTATTTCTGTCTTCTCTCTTTCTTTAGAAATACAAAGTCCACAATAATAAAATTTTACTGTACAGCAAAAGAAGGTAACAACAGTGCTTTCTAACAGGATGCAGGCACTATGGAACCATAGCAAGTAACGAAGAAAAAAGGTAGCTTACCTCTTCTAATAACCAGTGACAGCTCCAGAGAAATGTAATCTCTACCCAGAGGAATACTGCTCCCTCAGCTGCTAACCCGTAAGTGAGGGTGAGGAAGGGTGGAGCCAGACATTTGCTTGCACCTGAGCTCCATGGATTAGCCACACATTCTCTCACCTACTGCTTAACCATTGGCAATTCTTCTACACTTACTGAAGAAAAATGATTAGGATTGTTGTACTTCCTGCTGCAGCAAGGACTTTATGCAGGTGGTTCTTGAAATGCTGATTAGTTTCTGCTCATAGGCAGCTCCATACCCTATGCAGAACAATCATTCCCTTCTTAAATATACTGACTTGGCCCCTGCTTGCTCTTTGCACCACCACCTCTTCCAACATAACAAGCCCCTTTGTGAAGCTTAGCAGGAACCAAAATAGATGTGTTACAGCACCACAATCTCTGTTCTGTTTTGGCTTCTCCCTTTCTGGGAGGATGAGTACCAATATCTATATCTGTTCTGTGGTATTTACATACATCCCACATACTTTAGAGCAAAATGACAGCACCAGTAAAAACAAACAAATAAAACAAACAAA